ATGGGTGCCGTCAGAATGAGAGTCCAAACAGCTGATAAAAACATCACAATAATCCACACCACCCCAGTCCATCAGTTAACATCTGGAGAAGACAAAAGAAACAAGTTAAGACAGTTTAACTTTAAACTGTTGCTTGATCTATGCATATTTCTCGCCTTATTCAGATGAGGTGGTTTTTCACTGGGGGAATTTATTATGGCTTATGTTAAAGTTAAAACATCTAAATGATGGATTCGCTCAGCTTTTGTCTTCTCAAGATGTTCACTGATGGACTGGGGTGGTGGGGATTATTGTGATGTTTTTATCAGCTCTCATTCTGACGGCACCCATCCACATCCATTGGTCAGACAGTGATGCAGTGCTACATTTCTCCAAATCTGATGAAGAAACAAACTCATCTACATCTGGGATGGCCTGACGATGAGTACATTTTCAGCAAATCTTCACTTTTGGGTGAACTATTCCCTTAATGCAACAGCTGGTTATCTGTCAGTGGCTCCTGTGTGTTCCGTGTGTAATCGGTGTGTACAGGGTTGTCCTCAGTACTGGCCGGAGGAGGGAATGCTAAGATACGGCCCTGTACAGGTGGACTGCATATCCTGCTCTATGGACTGTGATGTCATTAGTCGTCTTTTCAGGATATGCAACCTGACCAGGGTGAGTTTTTCCGCATGTCTCTGAAAGCCATTGATCATTTTGCAGCAATGTGCAGAGCCGTACACTGGTCTTGGGCAGAAGTGCATAGTTACATTGATGTGTGTGTGTGTGTGTGTGTGTGTGTGTGTGTGTGTCCTAAGCCTCAGGAAGGTTACCTGATGGTCCGTCAGTTCCAGTACCTGGGATGGGCGGGTCATAGGGAAGTTCCCGCCTCCAAGCGCTCGTTCCTCAAGCTGATCCTCCAGGTGGATAAATGGCAGGAGGAATGCGAGGAAGGCGATGGACGCACTATTATACACTGCCTGTGAGTACAGATGGACAGAGACCAAAAGCAGCTGTTTGTGTATTAATCAGTAGCTACGGTTTTACTTGTGGACGGACAGGAAGTCAGACCACAGTCTACTCATCTAATCTCTCGTCAGTATTTGCTGTCAGTGTCTCACACTGCTCTCACTGGCATCAGATTCACCCACACCTACACGTCACATTAAAAGCAGAATATAACTGCTCCTTTGACTGATCAAGTTCATTTTCTACACTTTATTTATGAAGCATAAATACAATTATGTATGCTTTATGCTTAAATTATTTATGCTGCATAAATAAAATTGACATATAAAATAATGTTATGGCTTAAATTCTGTTTAAAGGGATAGTTCACCAAATATGAAAATTCTGTTATCATCTACTCACCCATAAGTCGTTCCAAAGCTGTATGAATTTATTTCTTCTGTTGACCACAAAATAAGTTATTTTGAAGTTGCTGTTTTTTTTTTTGCTGTTATTTTACCTTTGTGGGTGAACTATGCATTTAATGCTTAATTAACTGTTGTACAGCATACCAATTATTACAAAAATGACATGAAAATGTATTATAGTTTAAATGTATACTAAATACAGTTAGCTAAAATTTAGAGTGCCTTTTTTCTAAACTCATGGAGTTTTATGTTTGTGCATATTTATATGTAATTTCATACTTCTATTGTCTTTTAAATATAGTACTTGCTGAGTGTAATGACAAACATTTATGATAAACTAAAATGTACTTTAATTATATTTTATGAAGTTGTTTTTAAGAATTTCTATTGAAACTTGTTTGTCATTTGTATGTGCAATTACACGCTTTGTAAATTTGCAATTCATTGCATTTAAGATTCAAAGATGTATATTTTTTAATATATTAACTCTAAATGTAATATCAAATAACACGAATTAAAATTCTAATCAAGTGCTTTAAATGTGCTTTAGTACGTTAGTCAACACATCCAAATAAACACATGCTTTAATAAAGAATATTAAAGCATGATTTATAATAAAGCTTTTAATTAGATTGTATTACCAAGTGAATTTTTTTAAAGTTACTTACATGTGTTAAGAAACTGTGTCTCTCTTTAAATACACTGAATTGGCCTTTTTATTTGATTCTATAATGTTATCTGCAAGTGCAGTTTTTATGTACTTTTAAGATTTGAAGTACACCACAAATGCACATCCGATAAAATTAAGCTCACTTCTTTTTTCACAAAGGAAACCCCAGCGAGCAAACCTCTAAGGTGTTAGTAGTTGGGGGAAAAAAAGCCAAGTGATCAAAAGTCTGGCATTTCTCACTGATCTTGAGCAGGGTTTCTCCATCAGAACTGACCCTTCACTACAGCATGTGTGTAATGTAATGTTCGTCTGGATACAGAGCGTTTGCACACACACCGTTACAGTGGAGAAGTGTGTACACACACACACACACCATGTCTTCATGTCTCTCTGTCTCTGTAGGAACGGAGGCGGCCGCAGTGGGATGTTCTGTGCCATCAGTATCGTGTGTGAAATGATAAAGCGGCAGAATGTTGTAGACGTCTTTCACGCTGTGAAGAGTCTGAGGAACAGCAAGCCCAATATGGTGGACAGCCCGGTATGAAGCAACATCTACACTCATTATGCGTTTGTCAGCAGTGTCATCAGCCAGAGCAAAGCACCTCAGTTTTAGGTCTTGTAGTCACATGGTGCAGAATTACATTATAATAACTTTAAACCAAACCCCAGAGCAGCAACACAACTGAATATCACTCAGTACTTATTTGAGTAATTACAGTGTAACAATGACACCTTAAAATAAAATGTAACCTCATTGTATTTTTGTCTTGCTGATGGCACTCGAGACTCGAGAAATATTGTGTACGATACAAAAAATATCTTCCACTGGCAAATCCATGTTTCTTGCTTTAGGACACATGTAATGTAATGCTGCGTGTGAGCTGAGAAAAATCAACTGAATTTAAAGTGCATTCCCTGAAAACACAGCATCTCGAGTTTGTCCTGATTTAAGGATGCTGAGATATTTCACAAAAATACTGACCAGGAAAGATATTTTTGAGTCAAGCGCTGACATTTCACAGTAAATGCAAATAAAAAAAATATAAAACTGGATAATAATCTAATACAATGTAAGCCAAAAATCATCATATAAAGCCCACGTTTTTTTTTGTTTTTTTAATAAGTCTATTTTATACTTTATATGATTTTTATTCTTCCTTATTTATCGTGTTCTTTATATTTAGAAATTCACATTTGTATGTTAGCTGGCCATTTAGCGCGAGTAAGAGAGACTCCATCAGATGTTTATCAGGGCTCGATATATTTCATGATAACCTGGCGTGGCTCAAAGAGCTTCACCACATCCTCTACAGCTCTTCAGAGTCAAGCCCATGTTTGCCTCCTCTTAAAGTTCATCACAATCTGGACCGTTGCTGTGTTGTTTGAGAGTAAAGCTGATCATTTCCCTCTCGCTCTGCAGGAGCAGTACCGCTTTTGCTACGATCTGGCTCTGGAGTACATCGAGACGTCATAATGGAGACGTACGGACTCGTGTGTGTGTGTGTGTGTGTGTCTGAGCAGAACACACTCGGCTTATTTTACATGTGACACGGATGTCGAGTGCCGTGGAAATGTCTCCATTCGTGCATATGTGTTGACTTTCATGAGATTCAAGTGCCGGCCATGTTTTTTTAATATGAACTTCTTTTTTGTTTTATGGTTTCGTGCAGCCATTTGAAACACTAAGCCCGAGCTGTTGCATGCTGAAGACGCTCTTTATTTCTTTGTGTCTATCACTGTTCCTGTTAATAAACATATGTGTAGTAGTGCTCGTGTAAATGGACATTGTTTCGAAAGGGGAAAAAACGAACAAACAGGTTCATCCATCGATCGAGAGCGTGTAACTGTGGCTCGAGAAGACTGCATTCCGCACGAATGGCTGGCTTATTATGTGTTCTTTTGTTTTTTGGTAGCAGACGATGACCATAAGCCAAAGACTTGTGTAAAAATGTCTATAGGGATGAAGCACATTGTTTGTATTTATTGTTTACTTGCATTTTTGAAAGCTCAAAACAATCATTATCATTCCCCATTTAGCCGAAATTTTTCACTGCAAGCGCTCTTTTATGTACGAGACAGATTTAAGTAGTGTTATTTTATTTTTTGTTGTTGTTGTATTTGAAAATTGTATTTCTTTTGAAATATTTTACATGCTATCGTGGTTTGTTTTACGCAACTGATTGTGAATTATTCCTTTGCCGAGGAGAAAAGAGAAGAGCTCTATTTTTTCTGATGTTTTCACATTTGTATTGTGCTGGAAATGGAAAGAAAAAAAAAAGCACAAACAATGAAGTGTATGCATTAAAAATATATACAGTATTAGACTCTAGTGTATTTAGGATCAAAGCCAATTTAAGAAGAAAGTGCAGCCTGTATCGATTCTGATCAGACGTTTTATAGAAAACAAAACAACAAAAAAATCCATCATGTGAAATAATAACTTATGTATTTAAGATTTTTTTTAAATGCGTAAAAAAGCTCACATACATTAAATAAGTGCACACATACATAAAACAGGCTAACAACGACAAAAACATATTTTGAAATATGCGCGTGCGCGCCTATGTTACTTTCACAGTCGGCTTTACAGTTTTGTTCAGTCCTTGTGTGTCCAAAAGAAGTCGTGTTGCAGATCTCGCCATCTGCTCATCCATGATCATTTTGCATGTTTTGTTTTACATGTTTTGAATAAATGTTATATAATAACATAATTATAAGATAATCTGTTGCTTCTGATCATGCCAGTTCTGTCACATGAAACTCATCAAATTACAAAATAAGGTGACATTTGACACATTTTCGAAATGTTTCTATTGTTTTGCATATGTTCATTCTTTTTATTTGTACACAGTGACTTATAACTTCTGTTTGTTCTTATGTATGATAGTCATGTTATCAATGTAGGTTAAAGTGTCAGTGTTACAACTCACTTTATATATATAAACTAACTATTTGTGTCTTTGATTAGCAAGTGATCTGGTTATTGTTGGTTGAAATGCATCTGTTTAAATCAACGGAAAATAGCTAAGCGTGGTCAGTCTGTTTGAGAAGCACCTTCCACTGATCATTTGCTATAGAAATCTAAAAGAAATGTCATCAGTTGAACATTTATTCATGCATTTGTTTTGTTAGTGAATTTAAATTTCTTAACCTTGTTTTGGTAATGATAAACAAAAGATTAAAGACAAAAGATTTTTTTTAAATGCGTAAAAAAGCTCACATACATTAAATAATTGCACACATACATAAAACAGGCTAACAACGACAAAAACATATTTTGAAATATGCGCGTGCGCGCCTATGTTACTTTCACAGTCAGCTTTACAGTTTGTTCAGTCCTTGTGTGTCCAAAAGAAGTCGTGTTGCAGATCTCGCCATCTGCTCATCCATGATCATTTTGCATGGTTTTTTTTACATGTTTTGAATAAATGTTATATAATAACATAATTATAAGATAATCTGTTGCTTCTGATCATGCCAGTTCTGTCACATGAAACTCATCAAATTACAAAATAAGGTGACATTTGACACATTTTCGAAATGTTTCTATTGTTTTGCATATGTTCATTCTTTTTATTTGTACACAGTGACTTATAACTTCTGTTTGTTCTTATGTATGATAGTCATGTTATCAATGTAGGTTAAAGTGTCAGTGTTACAACTCACTTCATGCTAAAAGCATCCCGTTTCTTAAGTCGCAAGCTGTTCTAAAAGGACAGTGAAGATCGTTTCGCTAGTGAAGAACAATGACGTTTCAGAAAAGTGATTTTACTAGCATAGTGGCTGTTTATTAGTACTTTTAAAGCACATATTAATGCCTTATTCTGCATTAGCATAATTTTAGATCCCTTAATCCACCCCATACCTAAACTTAACCACTACCTTACTGTTAATACACAGCAAATTAGGAGTTTACCGAGGAAAAAGTCATAGTTAATCGTTAGTTAATCATGAGAATTAATCCCTAAACTAATATGTGAGCCAAATATCATTGTCTTGGACCTGATGTGAACAGCAACTGATATGCAAAGAGAGAATTTGAGCAAACTCACTGCTGCGTTACCAGTTATGTGCTTTGATGCTTCTGTCTTTATGGCGTTCAGCTGCTCATCATAACCATAATGTTGTCCTAGATAGGGTTTTCCATGACAATCTTAGCTGAATGTTGAAGGGATATTGCTGGGATGGCTTAAGGACGAAAAGCTCCATCTTCACGTGGATAAATCAGATATAGTGGACAGTGGAGTTGTTTTTCTTTTCCATTGGTCATGTCTTACCTGGTGCATCATCCAAAATAATAGTGGTATAATGCCCTGTTAATGACTCACTAAAAAACTTTTGTGTGCTTGTATTTTTTTTTATTACCCACATTCTGTCACCACTTTTGGTCCTTGTAGTGACTTAACATTGGCTCTGTGCTCTATGTGACAGGATTGTTCAAGCTAGTGGCTGACAGTCAGCCGTACCAAAGCATACAAGAGATAGCTGACTCGCTGAAGATCAGCTCCCACAGACTGTCCCAGCCGGTATTCCTCAGCGGTTCGGAGATTCAGCCGGCGCAGGGCGTCATACGGGAGGGAGACAGCTTCAGAATCACTGCCGTCACCCATGAGCTCAGCGGTGGACGTGTGCAGTGTGAGCTGCTGCACAGAGAGCCCAAGATCTGCTTCAGCCTGAGCTTCTCCCAGCAAGGCCACTTCACAGAGTGCCAGGACAACCAGTTCTACACCCTGAAAGAGATCGCAGAGTGGAAAATCTCCAAAGGCAGAAATAGGACTGTAACCGAGGTCAAAACTCTTCCCAAGAAGGACTTCTTATTCTCGAATTTGCTGGAGAATGTATTTGGAGAGCTGAAGCTGACCCCTGTGTATGAACTAAAGGCTGTTACAAGGCGTGAGTATGACACTAGTTTCATTTCTACACAAATATTGTTAATAACATGATTATAGCTCAACATGCAGCATATTTTTTGGCTTGTTTTCCTGTAAAAATGTCTAAACTCCCTAAAAAGACCCAAAGATGTATTAAGTCGTGTTTACAGAGAAATTCAACAAAGTTAAATGAGCTTTATGCTTTAATCATGAAGGAATTATTTGACAATGGTGTAAGAAAAATGTATTTGTTTTCCCTTTGAATTGTTTTTTTTTCCTGACACCTCTGCCATATTTATTTTTATTGTAATCTTAGTTAGGTTTCTCTGAAAGCAAGAGATAATATAATTCTTTTTACTTTTCAAGTAAATTTATCTTATTTACAGGACATTTAGAGATTTTGGTGACACTTCACAATAAGGTTCCGTTTCTTAACATTACTTAACTAAATTAGCTAACATAAACTAACACTGATTGCTACTTCGAAAGCATGTATTAATCTAAGTTTATGTTAATTTCAACATTTACTATTACATTATTAAAATGAAAAGTTGTATCTGTTCATATTATAGACCTGATATAACAAGAACTAACAATGAACAGTTGTATTTTTATTAACTAACGTTATAAAGATTTATAAATACTGTAACTAATTATAGTAAATAAAAACAATTGCAAATAGTACTGTTCATTGTTAGTTAATGTCAGTTAATGCATTAACTAATGTTAAATAAAGGGACCTTATTGTGTAAAATAAATAAATAAAAACATGATAAATAAAACACGATGTTTTTGCTGTGTTATCTGGTCATTGAAGATTAATTAAAAAAAATAGTTTTATTCATGAACGAGTCTTTGTAAAAAAAAATTATAAATCCATTTGTACATAGACCATCACATTCAATTCAATGGGACAATTACAAATGAAAGTGTTAGTTAGAAAAGCGGTAGTTGGCTTACAGAAAAATCTGTTCTGCTCACGTCTCATAGATAAAGCCCATTGATAAAGGTTTTTCCTCTTTTAAACTTGGACCCTTTCTTCCCACAGTCAGTGAGAAAATTCTGCTCATCCCATCAAATTTGGACGTGGAGGTGGTGGACGTCACTGAGCAGTTTGATTGTGACTCATTTGTGCAGCCTCTCTCTCTTATGGACGTTTTCAAGAGTCCTACAGAGTTTTTTCCTGTGGTGGCCAAGTTGTCATGTGAAAGACCTTTCAAGCTTTCTCCAGAGCTGGAAACACTTTTCAAAACCAATCAGGTGATCATTCATCATGCTTTCTATGCAAAACGAATACTGGCCTCGGAAATGGGTCGTGAATCAACGAGACACTTTCTTATTCCGGAGTCCTACAACGGACGCCTCAAGCGGCGGCCGCGCCAGTTCCCCACCGCCTACGATCTGGAGCGAGCGCGCAGCGAAACCGAGCAGATACGCGTGGTGGCCACCAGGGAGTTTGAGTCTGTGTACAATGGGCTAGCTTCCGTAAGCGCTGGGGATGAGTTTATAGTGACCAAAGGCAAAAGCTGTGCGCTTTCACACAATGGAACCAAGAGGGCAGCCGATGCTTTTCAATGTCTGAAAGTCACAGGGACAGAGGCGAAGGAGCTTGTGCGCCTCTCCATGTGTTTGGAGGGGAGATTCATGGAGCTGGTTAAAGACAAGCGTCAATACACCATTGCGGAAATATGCCGATGGTTCCCGTTGCCTTTCAACGTTAAAGTGTCTGTGCGAGACCTCTCTTTGAAGGTGGACATTTTGGCTGGCGTACCCGGTCTGCACATTGAGGAGGAGATCTCTGACCCTTGCCTCCTCATTTCAAACTCTGAGCTGTCAGAGATCAGGGAGGTGCCAGTCAATCGCACAGACTTGATCCTCAACATAAAGCAGCACTGGGATGGCCAGAGTCCAGTATGTAGTGGGAATTCAGTCATAGAGGAGATCTCAGAGGACTGTTACTACACACTCAGGAGGTACGCCGTTTCTACCATCACACCCCCTCCACGACCTCCCAAAAAACCCAAAGACCCTCCACCTCGACCTCCCAAGATGCTGTCGTCCAGATCTGAGAGCGCAAACAGTGAAAGCTCCAGCTGCTCTCCACAGGTAAACTGTATCTGGTAACACTTTATTTTAGGGCTGGGCAAAAAATCGAACTGACAAGCTACACAAAATCGCATTCAAAATCGCAGGCGATTCATTGTGGATTTTGAATGCGATTTTGTGTAGCTTGTCAGTGAAATACGGCTCTGTGTAGTAAATGCCGCTCCATCTGAAAGCACTTGCTGGAGATTTACTACTAATCACCAGAAGCGGCTTTACTGACGAGATGCGCATGAAAATCACATTTGATTTTTTGCACAGCCCTTCTTTATTTTAAGGTGTCCTTATTACACGTTAAATGGACTTACTATTATAATAACAATAAATTATGCATAATTACATGCAAGTTACCTGAAGCCAAGCCCTAATCCTAACCCTAACCATATAATAAGTACATGTTGTTAATTAATATTTCTCAGTAGTTAAATGTATAATTACACTGTAACAAGGACACCTTAAAATAAAGTGAGTTCTCTATCTGTCGGTTTCTACAAGTTATGTCGTGGCAACATAGGGGGTTCACTTGGGAGCTCCAATCCTCTCTGACTTTAAGAGAAAACACCAATGAAATTTGGCTAGTGGATTTTGCATACCTGAGCCACTCACACACACTTTATACGGGTATAAATAGGCGACAGGTGCATCCACTCTTCAGATTTTTGCTTCGGAGCCGAGTGTATGATAGTGCTTGATCTCCACAAAGCCCTTTACTCATCTGACTGGAAGAAGCTGTTCCTGGTTGGCGTTACGGTGCAAACAGCGGTGTCCCTGTCATCAGTGTGAAGTGTCCCCTGGGCACTTCAACTGAAAGAGCAGTTTCTCTAAAAGAGAAAATCAAGGTCGGTTTGCAACTTTTTAAAGATGCTGTTCTGCTCTTGTTCTCTTGGTTGCGGTCATTACCTGTCCTTTGTTGATGGACATGATTGTTGTCTTCAGTGTCTGGGCATCCAACACGCTGAAGCTGCGTTCGTGGATGACTCGTGCGTTCATTGCGAGCATATGAACATGGCTTCGCTGCAATCTCACCTGTCTCTCGTCCTTACGACAGTTCCAGCCAGTGCAACAGGACAAGCACGTGTTGGTCCGCACAGACAACACTGCGGCTGTGTCGTACATCAACCGGCAGGGAGGTCTACGTTCACGTCGCATGTCACAGCTCGCCCGTCATCTCCTCCTCTGGAGTCAGACACGGCTCAAGTCGTTGCGCGCTGCTCCCCCACATTCTGGGGGAGCTCAATCGTGCAGCCGACACACTCTCACGACAGCTCACGTCCCCGGGGAATTGCAACTCCATCCCGAGACAGTCCGTCTGATCTGGAGTCGATTCGGGGAAGCCCAGGTAGACCTGTTTGCTTCCTGCGAGTCCTCTCACTGCCAGCTGTATTACTACCTGACCGATCACTCAGGCTAGAGCTCCCTCGAAGTGGAGTCTGTTCGTGAACTGGTGTTCTTCTCGCTGAGAAGACCCCCGAAGATGCACAATTGGAGTAGTGCTTTCTTTCCTGCAAGAAAGGTTGGAGCGTAGGCTGTCACCCTCCACCTTGAAAGTGTATGCGGCTGCTATCCCAGCACATCACGATGCAGTGGACGGCCGGTCCCTGGGAAAGCACGATCTCATCTTCAGGTTCCTGAGGGGTGCCAGAAGTTTAAATGCTGGTTAAATCTCTGCTGGCAGCCATTCCTCCCTACTCCTAGGTGCCTCAGAGACCCATTCCATATGTGGTACTGTCCCAGGCCTGGGTTAGTCCATATCAGTGTCTCCTCATGATCCCTCCCTACGGGCAGGATGTGGTCTCCGTAGCGCCCTTCTCCGGAAGGCTCGCTTCCCCTTCGGTACTGCTTAGCTGTAAACAACAAACAGGAAAGGCATGAAGCATCTTTCATGAAGGTCAAAATCCCTTCTCTTACACCGTGTCTACACCGGACGCGAGCGGCGCGGCGCGACGTGACAAAATACAATAGAACCTATTATGCTGTCTACAATGGATGCGGCGCGGCATGACAAATTCCCAACAGTAAACTGCTGCTTCGTTCTATTTATGATGTATGGACACAAATTTCAAATGATTTTCAACAGTCGCTTTGTCGCGTCCAGTGTAGACAGACTTTAGCTGTTGTGGCGCGACACGACACGACAAATGTCGCGTCCGGTGTAGACACGGTGTTAAGAAAAGATTTTCTGTCATAGGAACAGCGGCTTGGCTATCTCCAGCTTTTGGTCCCTGCGGGCTCCATGCCACAACCTCGAACCATCGCTGGTTGCCAGGGACAAGTGGATGCACCTGTCGCCTATTTATACCCATATGCACGGGGAGTGGCTCAGGTATGCAAAATCCACTAGCCAAATTTCATTGGTTTTTTCTTAAAGTCCGAGAGGATTGCGGCTCCCAAGTGAACCCCCTATGTCGTCACGACATAACGAGGGTTACGTACATAACCAAAACTTTTTTTGGAAGTTATTTATAGTTGATTTGCTTGTTAGCCAGTAGAATAGCTTTGGATGTTTATTTCACTGTCGTTATTCCTGTATAATTCATTGTATTTTGTGACCGCACCATTGGATAGCACACCCACAAACCATTCACAGACCATCTGATGCATACTGCATAGAAAATGACTAGAGCTCAACATTTACTAATACATTTGGGTGGCGTGTATTTCTTAGAATAAGCTGCAGAGTGGACCTGACTTCACGGAAATAATCAAAAGTGAGGCTACATGAGACTCACACTGCTTACTGTAAATCATTTAAGGCGTATTAAAGAGCTTGTATGCACTGTAGGTTTGGTGAGAGAGAAGAGATAGGAGAGTTTCATGCTAAGCCAAGTACAGTAGTTCCATCCACAAAACACTTGTAAGTAAAAAATACTGAAGCTTTAAGATAAAGCAAAGAAAATACATGTAAACTTTGCCTATTGTATGGTTTATGGTAAACTGCAAAAATGAGTTTAAAATTCCTTACTTTAATTTTTTGAAAATTGAAAAATGTACTTGATAAGCAAAACTGCATATAAAAGTGATATTTGTTTTCAAATTTTGTATGTAATATATAATATAATATAATAAATGTAATATAATATAAAATAATAATATATTTTGTCTTTTTACACTGGCAGATAGAAAAATCTGCCCATGCAGTAAGACAATACATTAATATTGAAAGGTGGATAATATTTTATACAACAAAAAAAATGCAATTCCTTATTATTATTGTTATTATTATTATTACATTAGTTGCCAAAAATACTGAAGCTTTAAGATAAAGCAAAGAAAATACATGTAAACTTTGCCTATTGTATGGTTTATGGTAAACTGCAAAAATGAGTTTGAAAATTGAAAAATGTACTTGATAAGCAAAACTGCATATAAAAGTGATATTTGTTTTCAAATTTTGTATGTAATATATAATATAATATAATAAATGTAATATAATATAAAATAATAATATATTTTGTCTTTTTACACTGGCAGATAGAAAAATCTGCCCATGCAGTAAGACAATACATTAATATTGAAAGGTGGATAATATTTTATACAACAAAAAAAATGCAATTCCTTATTATTATTGTTATTATTATTATTACATTAGTTGCCTGAGACACCCACATTGCTAAGATAAACTTGCATTAAATAGTAATCAATTATACTAATAATGTCATGTGATATGGTTCTCAGCTTCATGTGACTTCCTCAAAAAGCAAAACTGAAAATGCGTAATAAATACCTACACTATTGTGTTTTAGATTTCGACAGATAGAGATGGAGATATTTGTTTGCAATTTTATTTCACACAGAGATGCAAAGGATAGGTTATAGTTACCAACATTTAATATTTATGTAACACAGAAGAGAATGTTTAACACATGCTTAAGGAGTGTATTTACCATAAGTGAACAAGAAGCCAGAGATCTGCATTTAAGAATCAAGAGGTTTTTTTAGCAATACAATGGCCCAATGCACATAGTTTAAAAATCCAGAAATACTTGATTTTTGAAGGTCAAGCCATTGCAGAAATGATCTGTGAATAGTCTATATCCACCGACAGTCTTCATCTCACCTGGTACAGCTGGAGTTCAACATCAGAAGCTTTGCTGCAAAACACAAAAACACATAAGAACACATCCACACTGATTTAACTTTGTAAATGTGAAATGTATTTCAGTCTGTAGTTAGGAATGCTCTTAAATGAAGAACATTGCATTATGTTAGGCATAATTTGAACATCTGAATCTGAACGTGTAAAAGAAACAAAATGTGAAAATCCAGTAATAACTATCAGAAAATATTCAGAGACCTATACATATGAAACAAGTTAAATATGCATGCAGATCTGCATTTTAAATGCACCTTTCATTCATTTTATTTTCAGTATTATACAAAACAATAAATAAACACAAATATGGCAGAAGGCTGATAAAACTGTTGTAAGCGCCTCCTAGTGGATTATTTCACTTAGACAATGCAATAAAAACTCAACTGTTCAATCAAGATATTATTTTACAGGCCAACCTCACAGACATTGTAAGGGGATGTTATTGTACATTGTAAGTTATGTAGAAAGACATAACAGGGATTTATTGTTAAAAATGTTATAAAACTAATTGTTGCATTTTATGCCTGACCTATAATGACATATGTGCCACATTAATGTAGTATTTACTTATACAGTATATGCTGCTATAACGCTTACATTGCAAAGCAATATAACATGACATAGGCTTAATATAGCATCACATAAATTCATTTTGCATGTGTTGACATCATAGTTGAATTAATTGAAAGGAGACGCTTTCCTCATCAGGTTTTGCTGTTGTGTATTTGTTTTAGTACTATGTTCACCAATAGTATTTTTTTCCCCCAAAACTATTCAAAATCTGCTATTTGATTATCTGTTTGCCGATGCTTTGTACTGGGAGTGTTGAAAACACTACTTGTATACTTCCCAAAGCCATTAATAAAAACTGTAATGGAACTTTTATATTCACTTATTATGTACACTGTGTAATTTCATAATGTTCTGTCATCCCTGTCACAGAGTCTTTGTGTTGAACCTTTTAAGCAAGATGACTTCATTCAATGCAGTGATTCAAGAAATGGAAATGACAAAAAGGTTCCCATTAGTCCAGTCACTTTGCCAAGACCTACCCTGCAGAAAGGTAGGAACATTCTGCTACACCCCTCTTCAGTGTTTATCAGCATGTTAAACGTGAAGTGTGTAATTTCAGCATCATAGCATCAACTGAAAATGCAAAAATAATGATCGTTTTCAAACAGGTGTCCATGGGCCTCATTTATAAAATGTTGCGTTAAAACTGTCCTACATTTGTTCTGAGATCATTTCTCAAATGTGTCTAATTGTTTTTATAAATCTGACCATTGGCGTGGATTTTAGTGTACACACACTTTAAAGGGGTCATCGGATGCAAAATTCACTTTTACATGTGTGAACTGAAATGTGTGTTGGCAGTGTTTGTACACATCCACCCTATAATGATAAAGATCCACCCAGTGGTTTTATTTAATCCCTATAAATAATATCCCCTTTCTCAAATCAAGCTGTTTTCAGCTTCTTGTCTGTGTGACGTCACATGGACCCAGGCCCCTCCCACAATTGTTGATTGACACTGGTGTCTTACCTTAGCTCCGCCCTGAGTGAGCTGTCATCAGTACTCCATTGTTTCACGGAGCAATGGAGCAGGGACATAGACAATAATGTCTCCTAAGCGACTGAGGTGTTTTGTTGTTGGATGTAATTATGAACATAGCAGTCCTCATTTACTATGTCATCTACGACATCTGAGCCGCTGAAGACACAGTGGATTACTTTAGCTTTTGAAGGGAATGTGCCCCGATCTACATAAATGCGTTTATGTTCGCGCGAATCATTCGTGATCCAGCTTCACCTAGGTCGTGAAGAAGGCCTTGACCTTTCTCCCGAGCCTGAGGTGAACACATAGCACTCCGCCAGAGATTCACAAGGGAGCCACCTGTTTCTAAATAAATACATGCATACACAAAATTTAAAAAATCTAAATAACCTGGACTGAGACTGTTACTCTACAATTCTGCAATGATTTTAATTTGCAATAGTTGTGCTCTACTACAAGCAAACCAAGAAGGTCTTTGTGCAACATAGTGAAATCATGTGAAATTATTTCCCACCAAAATTGTACATTGCACGATCTACTCTGATCACTGTTCACTTTTTTATTCATCCATCAATGTACTGAGCCACAAATGCATGTAGCATGGTACAAAAGTCTAAGAATTTAAACATTTAAATCAACATCTTTGTAGAGACGGTCAGATTTTATTATTCCTGTGAAGCTCTTTGGAACATCTAAAACCATGCTGGAGAACATTGCTCCAGTCCTGCTGTCATTAATGGGATACTGTATACTGTATGTCATTCCATGTTCATTGTATGAACAAAAACACAGAATGAAAAGGTGAGTGAACAATGACAGGTGTTTTGGGTCCCATTAAAGCACTAAAGCAGTTTCACTAGTGGTCTCAGACTTCTGGACCCATAAGTGTATACATTTTCTCCCTCCCACTATTTCCTCTGATATTCTTACCAAGCAGTTGATTGACACTGTTCATCCAGCCGAAGATGTGGAGTGCGTGGTTCTCCTCAGCGCTAAGATTGGCAATGTTGGGTGGTCTATCAGACTCCTGCAGCACTCGGCTTGGCAGAGGAGCCATGAACTTCTCGGACCTCTCGATGCTGGCGTGGAAATGAGCAGCTGCTACATATGCTTCCGAGTTGAGCCAGCCCTGTCCAAAGCGCACCTCAGGAGAGGAGTACAGCTTCTGCCTGCAGCACAACCATGAAAATTATTTTTTGTAGAAGGAATGGTCACATGTGGCTGATTTTGTCCAGGAAAGATGAGGGGCTAGTTGAGCATGCGCAGTATGAATATCATCACTGTAGCTCATTCCTGGTTGAAGAAATAAGCCATGTTGCAACTGCCCTTCGTTGCGACCGTCCCCAATCTCCCCCTTTTTTGGCAGAGAGCTTGAAATTTTCTAACAGTTACTGAATGAAATGAAATGAAATGTCGACCCAGGAGGTGGTTCAGAACGGTGAAGCTTTGGGGGGTGTTGTTGGAAATGATCTGAATCTGATCCAGGTAAAGAGTTAATGACTGAAAGAAAAGAGAGGTCGAATCCTTGCAGTAATTGGATTACTAAAGTTCTGAATAAAACGTACTAAACGTAGATGCAAGCGGCGATCATCGGGGTCCAAGCACGGCAAATCTAACTGATGTCAAACACTTGGAATGACACAGATTTGATATAAATTGAATGTCAAACATACTGGCCCACATATACCTTAAACCAATTTCAGTGTGGGATTAACTTCTTATCTTCACTCAATTACCACTGGAAGAAACTGCTGTTCAAACTGATGTTAAACTGATGTTACAGCATCGTCATCAATGAAGAATATTTGAGGTCAAATTGCTATCAAGCTGCCCGCTGGGAAACACCTCGTGTAGAGGACCGGCCATGTCTCTTTTCAAAATTAAAACATTTGAATTCATGGAAAACTGTAGAGGAAAAAAAATATGGAATCAGCTTGTAATCTGCATTTCTGAAATAAATACCGGCACATATCTAAAAAGCGAATTAGTCAGCAGCTAAAAGAGAGTGCTTCCAGATCTTAACGAGCTGTTGGATTTGGCTAATTGAAAGGAAACATGGCCCCAACAAGAGAGCCGTCTGTTGAAACAATGGAAATGATTATAAAACTCCTTCGAGAAGGAAATCCATCACGGAGTGTGGCAAAAGAAGTCGGACGTTACCTCAACAGTCAATGCAGCACAAGTGACAGCACAACATTGAAGTTTTGGACACTTTTCTCATTCCATCAATAGAAAAGATGTTTTCAGGATGATAATGCATCTTGCCACAGAGCAAAGAGTGTTAAAAGCTTTTCTTCAGGAAAGGCATATCAACTCAATGACATGGCCAACAAACAGTCCGGATCTCAATCCGATTGAACATTTATGGTGGAAATTAATCTAAGTGTGGTGATTCCATAATTTTTGCCAGGTTACTGAGAAAAAATGTGTAATTAAATTACAGTTACTTATGAAAATTGTAATGATTGATTTCTTTCCCAAAATGCACTGACTGCTCTAAAATATGAGACACCAATGTTTCAGAAGTTTAGGACATAGGACATATAGGACACATGCTTATTCGATAACGGTTTTAATTCCTATTTTGCGTTTATATAAGGGGGTCTGAATACTTTCCGTACCCACTGTATATGCTTTAGATTAACAGTTTTCCCCCCCCAGGCATTGTGAGATGCCAGTGTTTCCGGTCATAGCTATGCAACAATTTAATTTCATAGCTATTAAACTGTCTTTTTATGATTTTAAATCTGTGATTATTGATTAACCTCGGATTGATCTCAAAGTAAGTCTGATTTTGTGGAGGCTGTGCTTTAAAGGAGGACATCAGAGGCCCATTTTCTACAAGTTGGCATGATTCTGTAGGGTCTTCATGAAATGTCTGCAACATACTTTGGTTAAAATTTCTCAACGGTCTTGTAAAACAACACCCTTTTTACCCTGTCAAAAACAGCTCTGTTCACAGCGAGCCGTTTCGGTGTATGTCCCTTTAAATGATAATGGAACAGTGGAACAGCAAAGGCGATTTGCAAGTAATTAGAAAAATATATAAAATGTGTGATTTAATTCTTGTGGAGGTGCAGCTGGATCACGGACAGTGGGCACTGATCCATCCTTGAGTTTGAACTTTTTAGCTAAACCTGCATTGAATTGTCCCTCATTCAGAAAGCAGACTAGAATAAAATGATTAGCACAGACAAAAACGAATTTAGAGGTATTCGGTGGTGCATTACCATCAAAAACAGAACTAATCCACTGCGTCCTCAGTGGCTCTGATGTCGGGATGTTCTTCTACATCCAACTACAAAAGTCCAGACATGCATTAGAGAATTTAACCCTGTAAGAACCTCTCTGTCTCAGGCCAATCTGCAGAATAAAGTCACACGCTCGATGCAGACGCACTCGAGTCACATGAGACGACACAACAGCACACAGACGTTCCTCCCTAAAGACGCCGCCAGCCAGACGAAGCGGGACGGAGAGAGTAACGTACCCAAAGCACAGGTGTACCTGTCGGGACTGAGAGGAGGAACAAACATGATGAAGCTGGATCTGACCAGAGCTGTTGATGAGTGACCGGCACACTCAGTAAACTCTGAAAGCAAACTGTGTGAATGTGTCAGTCTGCTTCAGGACACGCCTCTGCATCTCAAGGTCTTTCCTGAACACAGGACGAGATCTTTAGAAGAATGGCTTTCATTATATCTGAGACTTTTCTCACTATATCTTCTATGTTGACAGAAGGTTCGTTTTTGAGTGAATCTCTTTCAGTTGCATTAACTCGTTCTACAATTAATCCCAGTTAACCACTTCCTACACCCACAAACCTCGTGTCCGTTCAGGTGTGTGATTCATAGAAATGATGAGTTATGAAATACTGTCTTACTTCTTCCAGGTCTTGTGTAAAGCAATGAGAAAGACTCAGACTCATCACAGGTGCGACTGCCTGCATATTTTTATTCATTTTTTTAAAATACATTTATTACAGATTACAAAATTATTAGTTACTACATTAATAAATGAATAAATTATTAGTTATTAGCAACATTCAGAAGTATTATTTTTAATTACTTAAATTTTTAACAACGTTTTTGCATTTCTTACATTAATGTCACTAATAAGCCACCAATTTAACAGAATTTACTTTCTAAAATATTATACAAAAATATAATTTACTTTCAAAAATTTTTATTTTAAAAATAGCATTTACTTTCTGAAATATTAAAAATAGCTTTTTTGCATTTCTTACATTAAATGTCACTAATAAGCCACCAATTAGTGACTACTTTTACTTTCGAAAATATTATTTAAAAAAAATAGCATTTACTTTTTGAAATATTAAAATAGCTTTTTTTGCATTTCTTACATTAATGTCACTAATAAGTCAACAATTTAACAGAATTTACTTTCTAAAATATTATACAAAAATATAATTTACTTTCTAAAAATATTATTTTAAAAATAGCATTTACTTTCTGAAATATAAAAAAAAATAGCTTTTTATGTTTTTTTTACATTTCTTACGTTAATGTCACTAATAAGCCACCAATTAGTGACTACATTTACTTTCTAAAATAGTATAAAAAATAGCATTTACTTTTGGAAATATTATTTTTAAAAATTGCATTTACTTTCGGAAATATTATAAGAAATAGAATATCGTTTCACATTTTTTACATTAATGTTACCAATAAAGCATCAATTAGTCCCTACTTTTACTTTCTATAATATTGTATAAGTAGTTTTTTTTTTTTACATTCCTTACGTTCATTTGTGAAGCACTAATTAAGTGATTATTTTTTACATGCATTTACGAATTTCTCATTTAAAAATTTCTTATGATCCTTTCTCATTTCTACAGACAGCAGCGTTCTAAAATATTGTATTCTTGTCGTTCTTTGTGTTGAGTGGTTTTCTTCTGTTTTTGAGAGTGTTTAGTGACGGAGCTGCAGGTGTTCGCGGGTTAAGAATACGAGCACGTGAGCGTCTGAACCTGTGAGAGACACACACAGCTTCAGTGATTCTGTACGCTTCACCATCAACAGCACAACATCACGTGATCATCAGCAAGACTCACCTTGGTATTGGCTGCTGTTAAAGCCCTCGCTGCTGATCAGACGAGCGCAGCGGAAGTCGATGAGCTTGAGCTCCAGACTGTGGAGAGTCACCAGGATGTTCCTCGAGCGGATATCACCATGATAAACTCCACGCTCATGGCAGTGTTTGACCGCTTGAAGCACCTGAAACATGAACAAGCGTGCTTGTGCTTCACTAACGGGGCCGGAGAACAAGATGTAATCCTCCAAGGTCCTGCAGGGTTCAGGGTACTCCATAATGAGAGTGAAGCTGCTCTCCTCCTCCAGTCACTGGTGTAGCTCCATGATGTTGGGGCACGAGGGAGCTTCTCCCAGCCGGAGCATCAGAGCCACTTCAGCAAGCATGGGTTTGGAGTGACCAGGCTGAGAAGAGATGAACACAACCTCCATTAGTTTGCGGTCTTCTGTTCCAGCTGCATGTCAGCTACAGGTTATAAAAACACCAAATATTCTTCAGGTTTAGCCAACTTACAATGTCAAGATAGCGGTCCGCTCTGCGCTTGGGGACACACTTCAGAGCAACCTTCACTTTGTCGCTGAATATGTGTGTTCCCTCATAGACCTTGCTGAAGTTCCCTGATGCGATCAAATGTCCCACTTCAAACAAAGACACGACGGATCCTGAAGAACACACAGAAACAGAAGATGGACATGTTTGAGACTTCCTTTGATTGTCAACAGCAGAGCTGAAGAACCAACAAATCAAGAGTCTTGAAGACTTTCTTTAGTTTCAGATGCACTGCAGATCAGCTACAAGTGATGGCAGAGTATCACAGTCTACAGCAGGGCTTGACATTAACACCAGCCAACCCAGCAAATGGGGGTGGATTTCAGCAGTGACGGGGAACACGGTCACCCCCACTAGCCACTTTGGCAGGTTGAATTTTATATATAGAAACAGAGCTTGACATTAACGCTTGTGTGGGACAAGTGGATTTGTTGAGCGCATCTCTGAGCAACACAGTGGTGTTTTGGTTCTGATTGATTTGGCGCATTTGAATTAATCATTTGAGTCAATGATTCAGTGGTCCACTCATAAAGACACTTGCTTCAATCTTGAATGAATCAGCCATCTGAACGAATCGTTTAAATGAAAGCCTCAGTGACTCGTTAATAAGACAGTCACTCGCTGCCACCTACTGGCGGTTTACTTTCATATTTAAAAGTAGCTTATCTTTGTATTTTTTCCAACATTTCATATTTGTATATTTAAAGAAAAAACTGATTTAAAACACCAAGCTCACAACATTAATGTTATATTATAATTCTGCAGTGTAAATGCATTTATGCTACATTTCAGCTACATTAAACTCTCTGTGTAGTGTCTTATTATATTACGTGAAATTATTATTAAAATGTAAGAATTTGATATGAAAGATGACGCATGCATTTAATACGGTTAGGGAAAAATGCCCTTTAAATAGGCAAAAAATGACCTGGAAATCAATTTAAATAAATTTTAGTATGCAGTAACTTTAGTCATATGAGATGTAATTTCCCAACAACAAAATTGTGGCAAAAATGCTGAGTGGCTAGTAAATTTGGAAAACCATTAGCCACAGTGGCTGGTGAGCAAAAAAGTGAATGCCAAGCCCAGGTCTACAGTATCGATAAAGAGAAAATAACACAGAGCAGAAATAACATGATGCAAAGCAGTAATGACTCACCTTGAGGCCGTTCGATTTCTGGATCAGGAGACACTGTGTCCGGTGCCATTTCTGACACGATCGACGGCACTGAACCGGGAACTGAACCAGACACTGAACCGGACACTGAACCGGACACTGAACCGGGCAGAACTGCATCGTGGGCCTCTTGCTGGATCTCAGAGGGACCTTCTTCCTCAGGAGACGACTGGAGATCTGCAGAGACCTGGTCCTGCTCCGGCAGAAACAGCAGCTCAGGAACGAGCTGGGATTGGTCCAGATCCGGCTCTGCTTTAGGAGGCTGGACTTGGTCCGGGTCGCAGCAGGGGAAGAGCTGCTTCACAGCCTCACATGCTCTCCGGAAGAAGGCACGGACCGCTCTCCTCTTCCTTCCTTTCTTAGCTTTTTCTAAAACGAATGAAGAGCAAACCATTAGAAACATCTCTGACCACAGAATACATGTGAACTAGCAATTAAACATGGAAACAGTTCAAGAAATGTCACTGTCAAATTATTAAGCAGTTACTTTAAAGGGATAGTTCACCCAAAAATGAAAATGTGATGTTTATCTGCTTACCCCCAGGGCATCCAAGATGTAGGTGACTTTGTTTCTTCAGTAGAACACAAACAAAGATTTTTAACTCCAGCCGTTGCAGTCTATCAGTCGTATAATGCATGGCAATGGCAACAAAATCTATGAGAGCAATCAACCATAACTTCAGGCGAGCAGGCTCAGAAGTTGGGAATACGTGGAAAGTCACCACTCCCGAATGAGTTCGCGCGAGAGAACATAATCTTTTAGTTTTAAGTCGGTTTGAACAATCCGGATAAGCGCAAATAAGTACCATTTTGATTAGCCGTGGTACCTACAATGACTGTGCACTGTGTAAACAATGAGTGACGTATACGCGCGAGAGATCACTTCCGGCGCTCGCATAAACTACGCCAGAGCGTGTACACACCTCACGCACCGGATGCCGTGCGCACGCTCAAAGACAGTTGGACATAGTGGTGTATTAGAGGT